CCCCAAAACCCCAAAACCCCAAAACCCCAAAACCCCTCAAGTTATTTTGTATGTTGAAATTTTATTAGAGACTTTCATCAATAGCTTGAGGTAGCTTCTTGCCGTACTGTATGAATTGGTCAAAGATCTCTCTCCAATCTCTAACTTCTCTCCTGATATCTATGGGTTTCTGCTCAGCAATTTTTCTAAGAATTCTTGTTAGGTCAAACAGAGTCTTATCGTTTTCATCATCGTACCAGCTGAGGATAGGGATCCCATTCTCTTTCTGGTACATAAAATTGTCCTTCGTGTTATCCACAATGATAGTCTTCTCAATTGGCCTCCCAATGAGCTCGAGGTCTTTGACATAAACCTCATCCTCATTGATGGTATGATGCCTGTAGAGACGATATGAGATATACTTTGAACAATAAAGTTCATTTAAGATTGCATCTGCATAGTCCTTTGTCCCAGCTGTGAAAATGACTACTTCATAGTACTTTGATAACTCTCGGAGAAGTTTTTGAGCGTATGGCCTTACATGGAAATACTCTTCACATCCTGTTTCAGAGTCAACAATTTTGTAAATCTGCTTGTACGCTATCTTGAAATTCAAGATATGTGGTTGTTCCAGTAATGTAGCTTTCTCTTCTTCCTCAGCAAAATGTATCAGAGTCTCATCAAGATCTAGAATTAGAGTATAAGGTGGAGTCGTGCTATCTCTCAGAGGCAAGAATCCATCCCTTCCTGATGTAGTTGAGTATCTTAATGATTTAGTTGGTGATATAACTTTGATGGAAGAATCATCAGGCATTTGAAAATATAGTGCATCTCATTCTTCTTCCACTTTCAAAGGTTTTTCATGCTTCTTAGGTGCTTCAACAAACTCAATCTCAGGTTTTGAGCTTTCCCTAGATATGACTTGCTCCAAATTAGTGATATCACCTAATGCTTGTTTCTTTTGTGTGATTTCTTTATTAATATGAGCTCTTTTCTTGCTCTGATTTCTCTCTTCTCTGGGAACTCTTCTTCTATACCTACTGACACCCTTAATATAAGCAGGAGTCGCCTTGTTTTCCTTGGATTGGTCCCTGAGGGCCCTCTTTACATTGTTATACTGGAAGGGCAAGTCTGGATGGATCCCTACAAAACTCTTCTTAATCTTAGATGAGCTTATCTGGTACTTTGCCCTTGATTCTTTTGTGAATTTTGGAGAAGACTTCTGTTTACACAATGCAGGGGGTGGCTTCTCAATCTTGTAGTGCTTCTTTAAAACCTTGGACTTTGGCTCAAGATATTTAGCGCTATAGTTCCTCTTCACTTTGATGTTCCTATCGCTCTTATTATGAGAAATACTTCAAACCTTCCTCAGTTTAGGTTTGGAAGGCTTGAAATTATGTTTTGGTTTGGAACAACCAGTCTTGCGTTTGTTCATTTGCTTTGTCAATCCATCGTAGAATTGAAGCAAGGCTTTAGGTGTCTTGTTATCTTTGGTATCCTTCATTACCTCTTTCAGCCTTTTCGAGATGAGCTTGTTAACTTCAGTATCTTTACTCTGGCAGGCATTCCTCAGTAATCATAGAGCAAATTCATTCTTTCTCTTCATAAAAAGATCGGCTTTATCTCTTCCAAATTTGGATTTTCCCTTACTGAGATCCTTGATGAATTCGGCAGCCTCAGAGGTTCGGCTCTCTTTTGCTTGAGAGCTACTGAGAATTCCTCTTAGAGCCCATTCGAGATAAGCTACGTAGTTCTGGTATACATTATAGTACAAATTTCGGAAGTTATGATGGCCAGCTTCATTCAGGAAAAGAGCCCCTATTAGGATATAGAGTGTTACTTCCAGTTGCTTCCTGGTCTTTACCAGTGTCCTTTTGTCTTGATTATAACAGCGTTGTGTGGGAATTTCAAGCTTGTATAGTTCAGCAACATATTCACCAACTTCCTTCCAAATATCTTTTATCCTCGCTTGGAGAACTATGAATGGTAAATCTCCCGTTTGCTTACCTGAGAGATCTTGAGCTTTAGTGTCCTTCACAAGGTTGTACAATTCTTTTAGGGTTTTCTCGAATTGTTTATAAATTTCTATGCTTGAAGGATCAGGCATTTTCATATCTCTCGGCTTCTCAGACCTCGATTGACTAGATGCCCTACTTAATCAAAAATGTTGGCTTACCTCGACAAGGTTACCACTGAACGCTTTGTGGTTGGTGCCTAAATTATCCAGAGAGGTTATGTTGATTAGGACTAGTGCACCAAAATCTTAGCCAAACAGTCAACTTGAATAGAGACTACACCTCAGAAATAGTACTAAATTTGAACTAAACAATTTTTGGAAAGCCTTATTGAATTTGAAGATGATTTAAAAGCTAGTTGAGATAGAAGAATCTGAGTGCTTGTCATAGTTAACTAATTCACTAAATCTCCTCTCTCATTCTGACATGACTATTACAAAACGATCCCTTTAAAAATATTTAACATTGCAGATCTTCCCACTAAAGTGCTTACCTTTCTCTTTTCAACCACAGCATCAGCCCTGATTTTATCAGTGCTTAAGCTGCTCAGTCTCGAAATATCAAGCTGTTTGTAGTAGAATGAAGACTGCGACCTGCTCAATGGGTTCTTTGGATATAAAGAAAAGTTTAAATTCTTAAACTTTCCAGGCTTGCTTGGAATCCCCTTAGAATATCACTCCTTAGAGTCTTCACAAGTGATGCCCTCACTGAGACTGAAGTTCTTAAGACCCTTAGTAAGAACACTGTTCTGTTGGGACTTGGTGAACATCGAGCTATCGTGGCTTTTCAGAAATTTATCGTTGCTTTCTAACAAATGACAATCATAAGCTGCATCAGAGGAATTCCCTACACTTGTGTTTGGCATCTTCCTCTTCTTCTCTGGAGTCTAAAGGTTTCATAGCAGTACTTACGCTGCTATTGATGTTCTCTGAGCTGTCGGGCGAGAAATATCCAATAGGGCTCAATCCGGTTATATTGCTATTTGAGACTGAAGGCTCAGGGTTCGGTTGCTTTAACTTGCCTAGAAAAATCAGTATATAACTTACTTTTTAAGTACTCTGGGCTAAAATGAGAATGTACAGGGACAGAGAAGTATTTCTTGGGCTGTATAAAGATGATATAGCGCATTACAATCCTTTCATCATTAATCTCCTGACTGAAGACATCACAGCTTTCGTTTGCCTTCTCAGGAAGGTTTACCTGGTTTTGACTATTCCGAGAATAATCATCAGTTATTCTTCCTCTCAATGGCTCTTTCTAAAGATATGAAGTTTCTTAGCAGAAGGTTGAGATAATGTTAAATTTGGACTCTAACAAGGTTAATTTGAGCAGGTCCGATACAAAAAGAGTAAATATGATTAAAAATACAGTTATTGAAAAGTTCAAGAGATATCGTTAGAGAAAGTACGCTGGAGATATCAAAATTCTGGCTCTATCAGCCTTATCTTCAAAATTCCTGTTCTAATTTGTGTTAAACCAAAACTGAGAACTTCTAATTACTTAAGTTTCATTAGAAGACCCCTAAAATGTCAAAATATAACACAAGAATGATCATGGATGAGACTTAACAAGGGATATCTATGCTCTATTAAAATCTGTGACCAAGTACTTACATTCATATTTGAAATTGATTCGGTAAAATATTTAAATATTTCAGCTATTCTACAACATGACGGGGTTTTGGGGTTTTGGGGTTTTGGGGTTTTGGGGTTTTGGGG